CGCGCTGCCCTCCGGCTCCGGCCTGAACCGCGCCCGGCGGCCCTTGAGCCTCGCAGCCACCGCCCGCCCCGCCACTCGCCTTTTGCTTCGTCTGGCTCTGGTTTAATAGTTTAAGTTCCTTTTTTCCGTGGTTCGCGTTGTGGTGTCACTTCTGGTGCTTGTACCATAAACGCCTGCCTGCCCCTTAGCCCGCTCTGAGGGGTCAGTCTTAACGGACACCAGCTTAACTTAAATTCAGATAAAAATGGCTAAAATGGGGTGTAATAAGGGCCGTGCAGGGAGACTGAGTTGTGTCTCGGAGGGCTGGCTGCTCCTTGGTTGTGCGTGGGCGCTGGGGACATCTTACTGTTACGGTCCAGTACTGAGGGGGCTCACAGGAAAGCTGGGGAGGGACTTTTTATGAGGGCTTGTGGAGAGAGTATGAGGAATAATGGGTTCAAACTGGAAGAAAATAGATTTAGATTAGATGTAAGGAAGAATCCCTTCACCATGGGGGTGGTGAGACAGTAGAACAGGCTGCCCTGGGAAACTGTGGTTGTCCCATCAGTGGAAGCTCCATCTGTTGGATGGGGCTTTCCACAGCCTGGTCCCGTGGGAGATGTCCCTGCCTATGGCAAGGAGAACTAGATGATCTTTAAGGTCCCTTCCAACCCAAATCCTTCTATGATTTTGTGAGTACCTCAAATTTTGTTTTCCTGAGCTTCACCCAGGAGAAAATTGAGTGCTTTGGTTTTGTGGGTTAGAATGGTGGGTGAGAGCACACATGGGCAATGGGAAGTGTTGGCATGACTGCATGGGATTCTGTAGCAGCTTTTTCTGCCTTACGCAGCTTGAATTGAAGACGTTATTTCTCCACTTAGTAATCAGATGCGTTTATGATTCTAGACTGTCGGAGTTAGATAGCTCTTGTAATAAAACAACAGGAGTTGGAGTTTTTTTTTATTACCCCCAGGGTAATCTAGTGTGAAGCTGCTCTCTCAGATCACACTGTTCTGTCCCTGAGGTTCCTACAAGGCTCTTGTGACTGACAGCAAATGTGATTCTGCATTGCTTGGTTTATGGCGGTAAAATACCAGCTCTGGCTAGGAAAGGGACAGGGAGCTCTGCAGGTGGGAGGAGAATGCTTCAGAGAGCAGTCAGGAGCCCTTGATGTGCAGAGAATATGTTTTCCTCAAACAAAAAGCATCTCCTACACTGAATGGATGCTCATAGTATTTCAGATAAAATAACACAGCTTTTGTTTTCTGAGTTCAGAGCTTGGGTGCTTTGGTGCTGCTATGGAATGAGAAGTTGCTATTTTTTTTTCTCTCCTAGTACCTAACTTGGTGTTTGCTAATGCTGGTGTTTATAAACTCAACTCTGTACAAAAACTGTATCTTTTACGCTGCCTTATGTGGGTGCTGTCAGGATGTTTGGTTTGGTTGGCTTTTTTGTGGTTGCTATTTATCTTTATAACATGATATTTTCTCCCCCACTTCCTAGTCATGGCAACCTACACTTGCATCACGTGCCGTGTGGCTTTCAAGGACGCCGACATTCAGCGAGCCCATTACAAAACTGACTGGCATAGGTACAATCTGAAGCGTAAGGTTGCTGACATGCCTCCTGTCACTGCTGAGAATTTCCAAGAGAGAGTCCTGGCACAAAGAGCAGTAGCAGAGGAGCAGAACAAAATCACTGCCACTTACTGCACAGTTTGCAGCAAGAGGTTCTCTACCTTCAATGCCTATGAAAATCACCTGAAGTCCAAGAAGCACCTGGAACTGGAGAAGAAAGCTGTTCAAGCTGTCAGCAAGAAGGTGAAATTATTAAATGAAAAGAACCTGGAGAAGGGGCTGAGCCCAGAGAGTGTAAACAAAGACGAAATGAACACAGCTATTCAGCAAGCCATCAGAGCTCAACCGTCTTCCTCCCCAAAGAAGACACCTTTCCCTCCTGGTAATGCAGGAGGCTCACCAGAGTCTACGAGAAGTGCCAGCTTATCCCAGACTAGAGAGCGACCCGAAAAACCTCCACGGCTGCAGTGGTTTGAACAGCAAGCAAAGAAGCTGGCCAAACAGCAGGCAGAGGAAGATGATGATATGGAAGAAGGTAAGGCAGTAAGCATGCTGATGAGAGAGAGCTTAGGATAAGCTGTATTGTTGGGTTTGTGTAAAAGCCTTCTCCTGTTTCTGCAGTAGTACAACATTTTCCATTGAAAAAGGTCTTCCTGCTGGTTATATTTTCAGCTGAACAAAGGAGTTGTGTGGCCCGTGTCAGGGACTCTGTGTTAGTGTCTGGACCACCAGCTGTGGAAGATACTGATGTGTGTGAATCCTGAATATAAACTGTTACTAATGTGAGCCCTGTTTCACACATAAAATTGCAGGGGAAGCTTCCTTTAGGGAAGCTAACATAAAAGGTTACCCTAAAACTAACTGTGAAAATCAGATGAACAAAATTCCAGTCATGATCATTTGCTGCTGTCCCATCAGTCACTGTACGGATCTGTTGGAGGGGAGGTGGGAGTGTGGAACTCCAACTGCCTGTTCCTGCTGCTTCACCCTCACCACCTGTGTGGACACAGCTCTTTGATGGAGGTCAGCCTAGAAAGCAGACAACTGAAAAGATCAGAGCTTCAGAGTTCCCAGAAAAGGGTTATTTTTAACCTGGATGCTTCTAGTGCTGTGGTTGACAGTGCAGCTCCAAATGCATCTATGGGAGCAATTGTGTGGGATGATTGAAGTGCAGCAAGGGGACAGGTTTGAATGGAGTGGGGCTGTACCGCGTCAGCGCCAGCACTGAACCCGGCGTGTCGTGCTATTGCAGCAGTTGTGTGCTGGTGAAACTTCGGTTGCAGTGCGGGGAATCGGTTCTGCAGGAGAAGAAACGTCCAGCTCTGGGCGTGCAGCCTGACGCCTGAAGGAGGAGCCAGCTTGCCTACCTTTTGTATGAACGTGTTAGTCATAGCTTGTAACCCTGCAACCTCAGTTGGGTTCTGAACGTTAATTTTCCCCTTGAAGTGTTCGTCCAGGAATGTTTCCTACAAGTCCTGTTCATTCACTGTCAGGCTTTTAAAATGCTTAAGCTACATCCTATAGCACAGATCTGTGGCTAGCAGCCCACAACGCTGGGGAGCACCGTGTTCCCTGGTCTCAAACACTCCACACACATGGCAACGGAAGGGGACCAGCAGGAGTAGAGTACTGGGGAATACCTGTGGCAGCTGGATTTGTTCTGCTCCGTTTAGTTACGGATGGATGTGTGAGCAGGAGCATGTTTCCCATTGCTGCTGGAAACGAGTGTTTTCATGATTCTGACAGAGCTGTATTGTTTTTAATGAGCCACAAATATATTATTTTGCTGTGTTGAATTACATGTAGGGCTTCAAAACAGCAATGAAGTCTTAATAGGTGAGAAAATGACAGGCCTGATATTTTTTTCCCCTCCAACTTTTTTTATGAGCAGATTTGAGCTTTGTTGTGCATCTCACAATGAGATGTGTTTTACTGGCAGTGGTGTATTCTTCCACCTGGAAGTGACTGTGTGGCACTTACAAAATAATGCATTTTCTATTCTTATAGCTATAGTAGCTTTTTCTAACTTAATTCAGACTTGTTTTTCTTGGGAGAAGTAATCATATAATTTCTTTTTTTTTTTTTTTTTAATTCCTTTAAAAGACTGGGAAGATATGGATTCTGATGAAGACATTGGCTCTGAAGAAGAGATGGAAAGTGTGGGAGAAGAAGAGGAGCAGGCAGAAGCAGAAAGCACTCCTGTTGGGGCCATACCAGTCACGGACTGCTTGTTCTGTCCCCACCACTCAAGATCTCTCACAAAAAATGTGGCCCATATGACAAAAGCTCACAGTTTCTTCATTCCAGACATAGAGTACCTTGTGGATCTTAGAGGACTAATCAAGTACCTGGGTATGCCTGTAAACATCCTCTGATATTTTATCAGGATAATGATATATATTGTTGTTGCTTATTTCCACTTGGATATGACTTAAAATGTTTGGGGGTTTTGATTTTTTTTTTTTTGTGTGTGTGTAATATCTCAGTGCTGTCTAGTTCAGTATTTTGATTGTGAACAGGAACGCAGCATTTTGGGAGAGAGTGAGAGAAAACCCCACTGAGCAAACATGTGGTCATGCACCCTATAGGTCTTACTTAGTTTTCTAATGGAGATAAAGTTGTTCAGCTAACATGAAATTTAGGACAAAACTCTGTTGCTAAAGTGTGCATATGAACTGTGTTATCCTACTAACGGGTTGCAAGTATCTTCCTTGCTGGTTTACAATACTTGTGAGAGAGCTGAAAGCTAGAAAAAATGTCTTCATCAAAGTCTACAAATAATGATGAGAATAAACTAATTTTTGAGTATCAGGTAAAGAACTTTGTTGGAAACATGAGATTTGTTCTTGAGAATGCACAGTGGTCCATACCTTGCGGTATGAAATCTTTTAAGTGCATAGGCTTGTCCCTGAGGCAGCCATAGGGTCAAGGAACAGCAGGGCTTTTCTGGAAATGAAGGGCTCAAGGCTCTTCCTTGGTGTGTCTGCCTGCAGGCTGGGAAGCCTGCATCACAGGAACATGCACTACTGACTGGGGAGGCTCTGTTCAGGCTAACATAGGTGGCAATGTTTTCTGCAGGAGAGAAGGTCGGGGTTGGGAAGATCTGCATCTGGTGCAATGAAAAAGGGAAGTCCTTCTACTCTACAGAAGCAGTGCAAGCTCACATGAATGACAAAAGCCACTGCAAACTCTTCACAGATGGAGATGCTGCCCTGGAATTTGCAGACTTCTATGATTTTAGGTGAGGACACTTGTTGGAGTAGAGCACAGATGGGGTGAGACAAAAGGACAGTTGAATGTTACATCAGAAACTATTAATCATTCTTAACATTTGGTCCTGTTTCTGGTTCTGGGGCTTGTTTTGGGTAGCTGGTTCTCCACTTTCCTAGGTAAACATAACAATGTGATTGTTTCTCCTTTCCTGTGACCACTAATATCAGTCGTACATGAAAACATGTTTTGAATTCTGTTTTGGATGTTTGCTGTTACTAAGTTTAGATTTCAGTGTACCAGCAAAGACCGTAAAAGGGCACAACTGTCTCTTTCATTCCTATTTAGGCCAATTGTGGCCTTAATACCTACTGTGGATTTTTATTTTGTATTTTTTAAGTAGCTGGACTTAAGTGAAACAGGAGATCTGTAGAGGCTTGTTGAGCTTGCTGAGGCTTATCCCCAGCTGCGTTCATTTTGGTCAGAAAGACCTCCTGTTATGGAGACAGGTGGCTTTAACAGAGGTTCTGGAGCACTCGGTAGTTGTGCAGAGCTGGTGGGCTGCACAGTGGTGGCTTTTCCCAGGAAGTCACCATTCAGTGTGCAGCACCAGAACCGTGCTGAGTTGTAGAACTGGGTGGAGGAAGGGTGCTGCTTGTCTTCAGCTCCTGTTCAGGGCACGGTGCTCCTAGGAAGAAGTTTTAAGCCAAGGCAGGTGAAACATGGCAATGTTTGTGGCATGCTGTAGCTGTGCATGGCAGTTCTGTGTAAAAGGACTGGATAGCTGTGGTTGCTCACCAGGTATAAACCACCTACTGCTGCTCTTCCACAGGAGCAGTTATCCTGATCACAAGGATGGGGAAGATGCAGATGTGCCTGGAGGGCGTCCAGCAGAGAGAGATTTGGATTATGATGATGACACCATGGAGCTGATCCTTCCTTCGGGTAGGTATAGGACTTGTGTTGGGATGTACTTCCTTTGCTCTTCTCACAGCTGCAGCCCTTACCTGCAGCACAGGTCATCATAGTGGTTTCCTTTGGCAAGGGGGAAAGTAATTTTGCATGTAAGTGTCTTTGAAGATTGTCCTCACCATTTGTTATTTTCACTACCAAGTAGTTCAGCTTCTTTAGCATTAATGTGTATGTGGACTGGGGCAGGGGGTTCCTTGGCTCACTTTACCTCTTTGCTGTCATGCAGCTCACATGCCATACTCCAGGAGTTTCCACATCTTGTTTTAGTGCCACATGGAGAGCCTATAATGTAGATTACCTTAGGATTTTTTTGGTTTGGTTTTTTTTTTTTGTTTTTTTTTTTTTCTGAGACAGCTGGTGACTAATTTAGTAAACTAGTTCAAAGAGCCTTACTCTTGCCTTGTATAGCACTAGGCACTCTTGCTTGCATTTTTGTCTAGTTTTGGTGGATTTTGTACAGGGGTCCTCAGCCTTTTCATTCTGAAATGTGCAGTGTCAGCAGATTTCCTGAATATCAGCAAGTTACTTCCCTGGTTTCTTGAAGCAGCACTGCCTCTGCTCAGTCCCCTAATTAAACTTGTCTTTTCTGGTAGCTGCCTGTTTGTCACCTGAGCTAAGGCCCTCAAACAACAGCACTCCTTGGTTCTTTTTGCTCTTTAAGGCAGAGTGCAGTACAGCAGCTCTTAGAGGAAGTACGTTGACTTTGTAATAAAGTTTTAAGTGTCTTGGCCTTTTAAAAGAGTCTCAGCACAGGGGTTTTCCAGTGCTGACAATATGCTTGACTGCTGTGTTCCAGAAGCTCTGTTCCTTTATGCACAGTAAGATGTCCCCTCCTCTGAACAGGCGCCAGAGTGGGTCACCGCTCGTTAATGAGGTACTACAGGCAGCGCTTCGGTCTGTCAAGAACAGTGGCTGTTGCAAAAAATAAGAAGGCAGTGGGTCGGGTGTTGCAGCAGTACAGAGCTTTGGGATGGACAAATCAAACAGGTAAGTGACAACGTGAGGTTTTTGCAGAGGAGGAGGTTCCAGGATGTCATCACTCTACAATTAGATCAAGTTTGTTTCACTTTTGTGGGGTTTTGTGCAGTTGTTTGTCTTCCACTCGGTTTCCTTTCCTTCTTGGCATCCAAGCAGAATGAGCTACAGGAGGTTGGTTGTGTCTAAAATCCAGCACAGCCTCTGTGTGAGCCCTTTGGTTCATTAACAGGCATGTTTGTGGTGTTTGGTGACTTCGTAAGAGTTGTTGGTTTCTAGGGTAACAATCCTTTTCCCTACCTGTCAAAAATACCACTGCTTTTTGATGATTTGATGAAATCACTCTGACAGTCAGAACACTTATTTAGCCGGGGAGCAGGGATGCGATCTATATCCACTTTTGAATTAAAAGAAGTGCACACTGGAATGCAAAACAAAAGAACTGAAAAGAAGTGTGGGAAGGCAAGCACACAGCTAGCTGCTGGTGTAAACAAGCAGATTAGCTGGCTTGCGTAGAAGCAGTAAGCAAGTTTATGGATGCTTATCCCTCTCTCTTTTCCTCCTCTCTCCCTGAAGGGGCAGGCCTTGCTCAGCAGCGAGACATGCAGTACCTGCAGAGGATGAAGTCCAAGTGGATGCTCAAGACGGGAATGAGCAACAATGCCACAAAGCAGATGCATTTCCGGGCACAAGTCAGATTCTGAGCTCCCGAGAGCGCTCCCTGCAGCTGGCTTTGGGAAGGGGGATTTAGTGGTTTCTGGGTCAAGGATTCCATTATTTAAATGGACTGGGTATGTATCAAATGAGGATGTGCTGGTGTGCCTTCCTGTCTAGAAGAAGAGCAGGGGGCTTATCTCCTCCAGTTAAATAATGGCTGACCTGACTAAAAAAATAAAATATCTTAAATGGAATATGTGGCAAAATTTTCATGGCTAGGCATAAAGACACATGCATAGTCTTGCTGCCCATCTTTGTGCAGTCCATTCTTGTGGGGCATTTGACATTGTCTGAATACCTTCAGTTTCCAGTTCTGCAAAATGGTTGAGACCAAGGGAAGATCCTGCATCTAAGAGAGTGAGATGGAGTGTGTTGAAGGGTTTCTCTTGTGGTGCCAGACATGAGTGATTTGGGTGTTTGGGACTGCTAGCTGGCATTATTGAGCTGAAAATACTAGATCAGAGATTCTGGGAAGGTTAAGTCATAACTGTTTGAAGAAATGCACAGATGGAAAACAAAACTCCAGGATTAATATCGTCCCCAGAAGTTGACTGTACCTGCTTAATGCTCAGGGCTGGATGAATAATTTACAGTGCAGTTGTCTTATGTTTAATTTAATGAGTTTTCATTACCTAAAAACTGCTCAAAATTACCATAACATCCAGAAGGATGTCAATAAAAATTTCTGATGATCTGTGAAAGATTTCATTATTAAAATTCTGAAGTAACTTTATTTGTTCCCACTGAACAACAAAAACCAAAACTGGTGTGTTATATGATCTGGTGAGGGAAAGTGGACAAAAGCTTGTGTTGTCCAGAACAGGGACATGTTCTCCCACCTCAGCAGGTGAACTGTTACGGGCAGGTGTAGAGGATGCCTCTTGTTAAAGAGCTAAGGCAGCAGCACTGGTGTTGGTCGAGGTGTTGTAGATTCTAAAAGCTTCCAAGACCTTGGCAGTTCTTCTGGGCCTTCCTGTGAGGAGGTGGGCACTTGCACACGAGCTCCTGAGGCCCCGGGCTGCAGGGTGCAAGGTGCTGGGAGCATGTGCCGCAGGGAAAGGCTGGTTGGTTGCTTGTCCACTGCAAAGGAGCTATGGCTGACTACAGTCAAGCTGCACTTCTAACTTGTAGGATTACTCTGGTTTCCCTACTAGTGGTTTTCATTGACAAAATTTTAGTGTAAGTTTTCTTCCTGTGAATGGTGTGTGCATACTAGCACTGGGAATGGTGGGAGAAGAGTTTGTCAATGAGCATTGTATTCTAACCTCTTAAAATGATCCACTAAGCTCTCCCTAAGAAGTAAGCTCAGAAAAAGTAGTGCTGTTGCCATATTAGCACTTGTAAAGTAGTGGTGTATTTACAGAACTCTTGGGAAAAGGGATTATTTCACCATGGAGACGTGTGCTGTGTAATCTCGTGTGGATTTGGCTGGGGTGGTTTGCTTTTTTTGTTTGTTTGATATCTGTGGTTTAGGGGTTTTTTTCCCTCCCTTTTTTAGTAAATTCTGCTGCCCTGGAAGTTCTTTACAGTTCCTGTTTTTACTGAGAGGACAGAACTTGCTCAGTAATGCAGGCTATAGACTTGACACAGTATTCTAAACCAAGGGATTACTACTTTAAACAGGTACAGATTTGACTGAAGAGGAAACCAAAACAGAATTTTAAGGAAAGGCTGTGTTCACATCCAAAACACTGAAATTGGGTGGATGGATGAGTACCTCCTTTTCCTGGCAAGGCCAAATGGCTGCCATTGTGTATCCATAGCTGCATCTAGCTCATGGCTGAATTGAATTCTAGAGGGTTCACTCTGGGTTATTGGGTTCTACTCTCAAAGTTTGTAGTAGGAGATGTAGTCTCAGCTATGTGACTCAAGCTGTGTGAATCTGAAGACGTCGTATCCTTTATACCCTTGTAAAACCTGGCAATAGACTTGCAGTTATGGTCGGAGTTCCTAGCACTGAGGGTATATCTTACCTATATGTTTGTCAGGCTTCAGCATCTGGCCTTTTGGACTGCTTGAATCTTTTTCTTTAAACTTAGAGATTGCTATCAAAGGGCCTTATGCTCATGGGCGAGTTAGGTTGTCCACACATAGAGCCAAAAGAAATGCCACAAAAGTTCAGAAATAGAAGGGTTAGACTGTGTAACCAGGAATCTGCTGAACTAGCTTTGAGTACCAGTATTAGCAGTGAGCATCAGAGCGGTAGCAAACCCTATAGCTATCACAAAACACTGGTGGAATATATGAAACATATTAAGGATGGGACAATTATTCTGGAAAAGTCTTCGTCATAACCTACAACAGCTGTTAAAGTCCTAGAGGTAGGTGTTAGAAGAGTCTTGGTAGTGAAGGCACAAATACAAGGAGATAACTGATCTAATGACAAATGACTTTGTGTCCATAAGATTCAGGCTGAAGGTGCATGGAGCTCCATGCTCTTCTCAACATGAAAGGGCAACCAAAGGAAACTACTTCCTTCTTTGAGCAGATTTGCCCCAGGAAACCTGCTTATGAGAAGATGGGGATAGCCTGAATTTCCTGAAGTCTAGTTCAGAAAGAAATGCAAGTAAGTGAAATGAAAACTGGTAGTTGTTGGAAAAGACCTCTATGATTCTATGATAAACCTTACTGAATCTTTGATCATTAGGTCCAACTGTCTGCCTAGCACTACCATGAGCACGAAAGCGTGTGTCATGCCTCCACTTGTTCTGAACCCCTGCAGGGATGGTGCCTCCAGCGCCAGGTGTCGGTCCCAGGGAAGCCAAGGGAGGCAGTTTGTGTAGCATGCACCTGTGGGTCTGTCCTGCTGCTCACTGCAGCCCAGCCAGAAGCACATGGAGGAAACCTATGGAAACCTACTGGTGTTCTAAAGGAAGAGTTTCAACTCTAAGCTGAGAATGGGTGCCTGGGAAAACCAGCAGAGGGCAGAGGAAAGCTGTTCCAACAATTGTTTGCCATGAAAATAAATGGCCTAGTAAGAGAATGCTTGTGTAGAATAGGGGTAGGGTGAGGAGACAACGCTGGCCACTAACGTGGGTTAGGTTAGCACGAGGGATGAATTGCTCTTGCTATTCCTATGTAAGTCCAGAGAGAGCATTGCTAGCAAAGGTAAGTACTCAGATTGTCCACAGCATTCAGCAACAGTGCTGCAGTCTGCACAGGTTGTGGGTAATTCAAGCTATGTCAAAGCCAAGAGTGTTTTTATTAAAGATGCTTCACGGTGTTACCTCCCTAGCCTAAATCCTAAAGACTGTATGAAGGGTAGCTGAGGGCAGGTTTTTTATTTCCTAAAGGAATTCCAACTGATGATGGTTCCCATCAAGGAGATCCTTCCAGCTATGTCCTAGCCTTGCACTTGTGCTCCCCTGTGCTGACCCAGCGTTTTCTGGCTCTCACAGTCAGAAGGAGAAGAAAGTAAACTCTAGAGGCAACCAAGGAGATTTGAGACTGTCACTGGATATAGTGTCTACCCTGGGGCAAGAATTCCCTGATAAGATTTTAATTCAGTAGGTGTGCTGTCCCCAGAGGAGATGATCCCTTCTCAAGATGGTGAATCCATCCAAAGGCTGGGAAGAAGCACAGAAAGGTGTCCCACTTTGGACATGGTTGGAATTCTGCCTACAGGTCCATCCAGTAATAGCTGGATGTTGAAGTGGTCCCAGAGCTGCGCCAGGCAGCGCAGCATGAATCAGCAGAATGAAAGATTTGGCAAAGCTGGCAGAGTGCATCTGCCCTCTGCTTTTGGAAGCAGTTGTTTTGTACACCTACCTAAAAGCAACCCAAGTGGTACAAGAGGGAAAACTGCTGGAGAACAGCAGTCACCGAGCTGTCATCAAATCCTGAATCCTCAGCAGTCAGCAGAGCCTGGTTAGTTAAGATGAGCAACTGCTGGCACACTGTGTGTCAGAGCAAGGCAAACCATCTCTTTTCAGGAATCTGACCTAAAGGAAATTCCTGTTGTCTCTCCCACTCCATCCCAAAGTATCCTGTGTAAGATGCAGCAGCTTCAGGAGCAGCAGAAGCAGTAACAGGAGACCTGTAGCTAGTTTTGTGTTAAGGATTTCTCCACGTGTCCAGGGTACCAGTTGACAAGCAGAGTAATAAAAGCTTGCTGAGCCAGGTTTATGTGGCTCTTACCAAAAGCAAAAAGTGATAACAGGTTTTTCAATAATGATACTACTCAACAAAATGATGTCTTTGTATGTTTCTCTGATGTGAGAAGAAGGGTTGCCTAACATCGAGACATCTCTTCTATCATTCAGTACAGTTGTTTGGAGTCTTATTTGCTTCCCACTTCATTGGAATTTTTTACAACTTCTTTATCTTTGCCAAGAGTTTACAGTGGTAAATTCCATACCATTGGGTATGGAGATAAGAGGCTCCTTCTGTGTCATGTCTTAACAGACCAAAGTGAACATGTACCCAGAGTCCAAAGAAGTGCATATTCACATCCCTGGATGTCCTCATATCCTACCATTCCTTTCATGAAGGATCTTCAGGAATCGGGTCTGGGTAGGAACTGCTGACAATCGATAACATGAATAACAGAATTAGCATCAGCAAAGGCTATTGGCTACAGACAGAAAATCTCTATATTTCTTATGAGCTCTAGAGGCCACAAAGAATAACCTAATGTTTTACAAAATGAAATTTGTACCAAGATATGTTTCTCCATGGAACACTTCTTTATTCTGCCAGCCCAATGAGAACTTTTTTATTTCTTTATTTAATAACTAAAGCATGGCTGGAAGGTAGAGCTAGAATTTTACAAAACAAAGTGGTTCAGTAGTCACCAGACCAACAGAACTTGTATTTCTTTAACAAATGGGCAAACCAAGCACCTCAGATGTGTAAGAGGAGTGCTGCAGGATAGGTTAGTGCTCAGCTCTGGGGACATTTTCCAGCAAGCTGGAAAGGAAAAAGGAGCCTCCTTGTGCATGCACCCTGCGGCACGTCGGCTGCAGTGCTCCAGAGGGGGGATTTCCACACTCATGTCACAATCTGCAGCACCCAAAATAGCAGCTGAGGCCCGAGTGTGGGGACCTTGCCTTGGTTTCCTCTCTTACTTGTGGTTCTTTTAA